TGGTTGAATGCAATGCAAAGAAAGAGAAGTATTTGATGGAAGACGGGTTTGTGGTAGAAAATGGACACAAATTCAGGTTCTATACTCTAGAAAAGTAATCCAATACTCTTTATTCCCTGTAGTTGAATTTTGGAATTGGAAATTGAGTAACAAACTCAACAACTTCCTTTTTCAGATCCATAATCTCCTTGTTCTCTTTAATTGATTCCACAAACTCATTCAGATCCCTAGTCCTCTCAGAGACGCTTTTTGCAATACAAATCGCCTTGAAAACGAAATCAGCTGCTTTCAGAACATCTGACTCCTGGAATCCCCTGGTTGTCATTGCTGGTAGACCAATTCGCACTGCTGATGGCCTAAATGGACTTTTATCAGTGCTGATTGAATTCTTATTAAGACTGATATTAGCCAACTCACAGACTTTCTCAATTTCAGTCCCACCAACACCATCATATTTCAGTAGAAAGAGGTGTGTTTCTGTTTTACCACATTCTACGGTGCAACCCAATTCAATGAAATGGTCTGCCATTGCCTTAGCATTCTTTAACACCTGTTTGCAATATTCCTTGTATTCTTCACTCTTTGCCTGTTTCAATGCCACTGCTAGTGCTGCTATCTTCTGGTTGTGTGGACCACCATTCAATCCTGGTGTTGCCGTTCAATCCGATTGTCAGATTGAAGACAATGCGTCGTGTCTGATGTCTTGATATGTTTATTGTTATTTGTTGATCAACAGTTCGTAGTATATAAACAGGGTAAAACCCCACAGAATCAATGAGTAAATCGTCTAACCATAAACATGTCCGTGTCAAAGCACACGATGAGCCGCCGTACGACAACATTGGTAACATGCAGAGAACCGAACAGGCAGACCAGGAATTTGAGGGTATAATAAAAAATTTCGCAAAGGCACAGAACCTGAGAGAGTACAACGGAAACCAGAAGGGGAGGGAAGCCCTGGAATGGCTAGAATCTCTTATAGTTTATGAAGAGGAATGGAGCAGCCAAAAGCTTCTAAAACAGATTGCAGTGCTTTTAAAAGGCAAGGCCAAAATTTGGTTTAAGGCACTTGAAAATGATGAGATCACAAATTTCGAAGAATTTAAGGTCAGATTCAAAGCAAAATACGGGAATCAGGAAGACAAGAACATCGAAACTATTAACCTGTTTAAGATATTGAGTGACGGTCCAAGAAATACTCTTTCGGAATGGATCTTACTGATCAAATGGAAGAACAAAAATGCCAATCTTGAATTTGACGTAATCAGATCAGCTGTCAATCAACACGTGTACAGTCAGTATCACGAGGTATTTGACAGGTGTGAGAATATCCTGGAAATGGCTGAAAAAGCGGAGGAAAACAACATCAGATCAATTAATCAGATCAAGAACAAAGTTAACAATAGACCTCCAAAACATGGAAGATACAAATCTGAGCAGCACAATGATCAAAAAAGACATAGATTAACTGATCAAAAGGAAGAATCACGAAATAAGGGAAATAGTCAGGTCAGATGCTATGAATGTGGTGGTGATCACTACAGATCAAGTTGCCCGAAATTGGCTAGAAGACCTGAACCCAAACGCGTCAATGCAACAACAAAGATGAAAGATGATGATCATATCAAAGATAATCACAGATCAGTCAATAATCTCGAATTAGAGGTGAGCGACAAAGAGGTCGAGAATACGGGATCAGGTATCGTGATCAAGGATAAACATGTGTTCGCGCTAATCGACACTGGAGCAAACTGCTCGTTTATAGCCCCACGGGTGGTGGATGCACTTAATCTAGAAAAGATCAGTTGTGATCAGATTAGAGTGAAGACGGCAAGTCAAGAGCTTAGCTGGTTAAAGTACAAGATACGGTTGACAGTCCAGGTGGGACAGGATCAGTTTGATCATGAGGTCTACGTATTCAATGAAATGAACCAAGACGTGATCTTGGGGATGGATTTCCTGAGGAAGGCAGATGGACTTGTGGATGCAGTCGGCAGCACAGTTCGCCTTAACTCGCTGACTTTCAACATGATTGATCGTAATCAGCTGATCAGATCCCACGATGATCTTGATCTGAAAGAAAAGGAAGAAAGAACAATCCGCGTTATTGTCCAGGGAGTGGGAAGATCTGAGTATCTGAGAGATGATCTCGTCGGAGTACCCTCCCTAGTGAGTAAAGAGTCACCATATCTGACTATAAAGGTTCTGAAGCGAACCATGATCCAACGGGATGACATCATCGGTACGATCAAATTCGTAGATGTCGGGATCAAAGAGGTACAACACCTCGAAATCGACAAATATGTCAATAGGGACATCTACTCAGCACTCCTGAGCTATGATCAAAAACTTAGATCATTAGATGGTTTCAGGAAGTTACCTGAACACGCTATCAGGGTGATTCCAAACGTGTCCTCGACTTTCATCAGGCAGTATCGGCTGAATCAAGAAAAGATCAGCGAGGTCGTCAAACAAACTAAAGAACTTGTTGACAGAGACCGAATACAAGAATCGTGTTCCCAGTGGAACTTTCCACTCGTGTTGGTTAAGAAGAAAAACGGAAAATGGCGCATGTGCGTAGATTTTAAGAAACTAAATGACGTGACGACGGACGAAAAGTGTAGTCCTCCACTCATTGAAGACTGCTTGGATGCGTTGGCTGGTGCCACGGTATTCTCGACGTTGGATCTCGACAGTGGTTACCACCAGATCCGGATGGACCGAGACAGTAGCAAGTATACGGCATTCACAACGCCTATTGGCCGATTCGAGTACAAGGTGATGCCTTTCGGCCTCAAGAACGCACCGGCCTGCTTTCAGTCCATTATGTTTAACGTCCTGCAGAAGTTCATTAACAAGACTTGCATCGTCTACCTCGACGACATTATCATTTACAGCCATGGTATTGAACAACATGTACAGCATGTCCGTGAGATCCTGTTGGAATTAGCAAACTACGGCTTGCGGCTGAATTTTGACAAATGTGAATTCGCTCTTGAGGAGGTAAGTTTTTTGGGGTTCACCATAGGGAACAATTCTGTCAGACCGAATGACAGCAAAAAGAAAACAATTTTAGCGGCCATAGCCCAATGTAATACCCATAAGAAGCTTCATAGCATCTTAGGAATGCTGGGATACTTTAGATCGTTTATTCATGGCTTCACTAGCCGAACGCGTCATATGTATCAGATCATCAACCAAAAGAGTGAATTGAATATACCAATGATCCAGAAGCAGTTAACGGACCTGACAACTGCAGTATTCTCAGAAGGCTTTCTACAGCTCCCTGACATCAACAAACCATTTATTATTGAGACTGATGCCTCAGGCATCGGGATAGGAGGCGTTCTCAAACAGTCCCAAAACAATTCTGAGAAATGTATCAGGTTCGTCTCTCGAACCCTGAGACCCGACGAACAGAAATGGTCTGCGACAGACCTGGAGGCCCTTAGTATTATATACTGCATCAAGAAGTTTCAACATTATCTCCATGGGCGCTTCACGTTGCGCACAGACCATAAGCCTCTGCTCCAACTACAGAGCATGAAAGACCCCGTAGGCAAATATGCCAGGTGGAGGATGTTCCTCAATCAATTTTCTTTCGACACAGTCCATATTCCTGGCCGTGACAATAACATGGCAGACTATCTGTCAAGGACAGTCAACTCTCTTGAAAAAGTCTCCAATGAGGAGATATCTAGGATTATTTCTGCGCATCGAGAGTGTGGGCATGCCTGCCCAGCAGTAACCTATGTTCACATGAAGAATAACAATCTAGGGTTGATTCCAGTTAGAAGAATTAAGGAAGTTTTAGACAACTGTAAGCAATGCATTCACAATAATCGGGGCAGAGTCCATGAAATGAGGGCTATTAGCCGAGGAGAGCCTTTCGGCATGATCGGAATTGATTGCATGGGGCCACTCCCCAAAACAGCACACGGAAACAAATTTATAATCCTTTGTACGGACTATGCCACAGGATGGGTCGAAGGGATTTCAACGAAGAACAAATCAGCTGACAACGTCAAGCGTCTGCTGTGGAAAAACATATTCACTAGATTTGGACCACCGTCTGAAATAAGATGTGATTGTGGTAGGGAATTTACAAGCAGTCTGATTCGGGACTTGGCCCGTGACTGGAACTGTAAAATGCGATATTCGGCCCCTTATGCTCCCTACTCAAATGGTCGTATTGAGAGGACCAACCAGAGTATTATTCTGAAGCTCAGCAAATTATTGGAGGGCAAGTTCGACTGGGACGAATTACTGGAGCTTGCATTGTTTTCTCAGAGGATAACCCCTAATGCAAGGAGTGGGATTTCACCATACCAATTAGTGTTTGGGCGTGAGGTGTTTGAACGTGTAAACACGTTGACGCTGGATGACAAAGAGTTGTATGAGCTCAAACGAGCACAATTCATGAGTAACCTCGAGAGAATTATGACTAAAAATGAGTTGCATGAGCAACAACTTGAAGCAAGGAATAAAGGTCGGTCACCGGCTGATGACCTAAAGGAGAATGATCTGGTGGTGTACAAAACCAAGGAAATTACAAATAACAAGTTCGGACAGAAATTTATTGGCCCGTTTACAGTGGTTAAAACCCATGGCCACGGGACTTGCAGCATCAGAAGCATTGAAACAGGTTGTGTAATCAAAGCTGCCCGCAAGGATTTGAAGCCAATCAATCAGGCTGATTTAGATCGAGTAGAGTCAGTCATGGAAGCAGGTAACGGTGCATCTCACGGGGGAGGAATGTTGCCGTTCAATCCGATTGTCAGATTGAAGACAATGCGTCGTGTCTGATGTCTTGATATGTTTATTGTTATTTGTTGATCAACAGTTCGTAGTATATAAACAGGGTAAAACCCCACAGAATCAATGAGTAAATCGTCTAACCATAAACATGTCCGTGTCAAAGCACACGATGAGCCGCCGTACGACAACACCTGGGAAGACAGCCTTGTCAATTGCGCTCTTTACGTCCACTTTTCTGTCTTTGAATTCCTTAGTCTTTTTATAGAAAATTATGGCAGATCGTGGTCCCCTTAGCAACTTATGAGTTGTGGTTGTTACTACGTCACAGTAATCAAAGCAGTTGTTCATTAAACCAGTTGCAATAAACCCAGAAATGTGGGCCATGTCGCACATCAAATAGCAGTCTTTTGAGATTGACCTGAGTCTCTCGTAATCGAAATCCAAGGCATAGGCGCTTGCTCCACAAATCACCAAATCTGGCTTGAATTCATTGAATCCCTTTTCGAGTTCATCGTAGTCAATTACACCCATGTTGTTCGTCTTATACGATTTTGATTCAAAGAAAATGCTGCTGGCTGATATCTTCCTTGTTGGTGTTTTGAATCCATGAGTTAAGTGGCCACCAGAAGGCAGATCCAAGCCCATCAGCTTCCCTTCCTTGCCAATTAGTCCCAAATAAACAGCCAAATTAGCATT